GTGGCGAGCTGATAACGGCAGTTGGAAGCAGTCGTCTGGCTCCACTCACTCCTTCCCTTCACCCTTTCCCCCTTTCTCATGTCTCATATATTGAAGTATAAATATTAAATTAAATAAGTATTCTGTTATGTAATAGTAATACACCGCTACACCCTTCGGTTAGAGGCCGGCCAACCTTTAATCCGATATGGAGGTGTGACATAAAATAAGCTGTCAGCACTTTCATTTCTGCAGTTTTATTCTGCTTTTAATATAGTTAGATGGAGATACCACGACCGCAATAAAACTCGGCTCTCAATGTGGCTCTGGGGGCCCAGCCTGTTTTAGCATGGCGTCGGATCCACGAACTTTTCCAGATTTGGGACCAAGCTTTGAAAAAAACGGAGTCCGAGCTCGTCAGTAGTTCTCATTCGCTCCGCAGTTCCCTCCGTCTAGGCTTAGTCTACTGACCCTTTAGCAGAATGCCCCACCTCCTCTTGACCCCGGTGGGGTCACACATGCTCCTTATACGATGCGTGCGCTAGAAAGGCGGCAGGAATTAGTTAACTTAAAGGAATCTTGCGCGGAAAATTCTTGCACTCTTTCCTAACATGAATATGTCAGTTGTGATCACTGGAAATAGCACACAAAGTTTCACGCATGAAGATTCGGTTTCTGAAGAGAAACAAACGTACAAAAACTACACGTTATGGACCATCGAAGGACCAGGAGGCAGAGCCAGGCGAGGCATGGAAAGAAGACGGCGTTTGGCCGGCTACGTACCAGGCGACGCAATGAGAGAATCGGGTTAAAGCGCGCGATTTCGGAGAGGTGGGAGCATCGTAGATTGAGAGCAATCGGGGGGGGGGGGGATCAGGATGAAGGGGGTGAGGAGTGGGGGGAGTAGGGGGGAGAGGGTGGTGAAGATGTGTGAAGGCAGGGAGGAGCAGGGGGGGGGAAGTCAGAGAGAGGAGTTGTGTCTAGGGGGAGGAGGGGGTGGAGCGCAGAGGGGTGTGGGAGATGCGTCGCGGGGGGGGCGATTCGGTGAAAAGGGTCGGTGGGGGCGATTCGAGGCGCGTTGAGGCGGGTGGGGCTTGTTTTGGGGAGGTTGTGGGGATTGTCGAATCTCAAGAACGGGGGGGGGAATCTAGTATGACTGGTGCGAGTGTTCTGTTTTCGGAGTAGTATCTAGGGGGGGGGGGGGTGTGGAGGTGAGGGTGTCTGCAAGGGCAGGGAGTAGAATTATTGGCGTTAAGGGATTGAGATCGATTGGATTTGTGTTGGCGCGCTAAGTTTCGGTGGGTAAGGCGGGGGATCCTCCCTAGTCTTACTGAGGGGAAGGTGACTTCTGAGAAGGCTGCATAACCTTAGTATCCACTGGCGCACAAGGTATTACTGAAGAGTTCGATGGTCTAGTCCTTTTCTGTGAGTTGAAACGACCCATATGAGTGACGGTGTAATAGGAGAACCACCATCTGGATTTAGTTCTTTCATCACTAACAATGGCACATGCAAGATTTCGTATATTCCGGAAACTGCGTCTTTTCACACAGTAGCCACCTTAGGCTAATCCATATACAGGTCAACCAAACCCTTCAAACCTCAATTCTTCTTAATTTCAACTTCCATGTTCCCAGCAGAACCAATCCGCCTACAAGACGGTCATATTCGCATTTGCCGAAACGTTAATCACGTAGCAACTCACCATTCCCCATTTTAGACCCGTTGCGCGTGAGGTATGGCACAGCGTGTGCATGTGGGGATAACGTAAGCTACAACAATACTACGACAAGTAAATTAAAGGAAGCGTTCGCGCTGGCCTAGGGGTGGATAAGCGCTTCACACGCCATTGACCGAAAGGCCGAGATGAGCGGGACAGGCACTGGTTGAATGAGCGTAACCCATGAAAGAAACGATACGGTAAGATATAATGTACGGCAGCCTGGTATGAATTGCACACCATAATGAAATCGAATGATAACGATAACGTTGTTATACCGAGAGATTTGCCGTTACCATCCTTTCCATGTCAACAATTGTGGATGGGGAATTCCGGAAACCCATTTCCGGCGACTTGCAATGTCGCTGATAAGGCCCCACAACCCCTGATGCGCCGCCTATCGTCTCTTCGGGTAGATCTTCCATCAAATACCCCTTACATCTTTCCTATTCATTCCCACGGGATTTATCGCATTTTTTAAAGCGGACATGCAGAGGAATTGTAGTAACTGGTAGTAGTGGCAAGTGATCCCGAATATGTATTTAGAAAGCATCACGAGATATGACGACAAAGTTTTACGCTGTTTTGGAACACGAGCGCAAGCTTCACAGCGGCTGGTGGGGGCCGTATGCCACACTCGGAGCCAAATTTTGGATCGTACGCTGGGTTTGATCCAAATCGCATTGAAAGGAGCGGCGGAGAGTAAGCGACACGGAGTAATAACTAGGTGGAAACGTTACCTAAAAAGTAAAATAAAACGCTACCGATGCAAGACCTCATTGAAAGTGATGTCTTTGATATAACGAGAGGGGGAAATAAACTTGAAGATGATTTGAAGAGAAAGAATAAAGAGAGTGATGTTAAATGTGTTAAAAGGGAGTTGTATGAGTCATCTACCAATAGGCCTTGTAGACTCTTGAGTGGCAAGCTGGAGGACATGTAGGTCGACACCACAAACATGCCAAAATACACATAAAACCCCGGTAGACTTGACACCCATCAGAATCTGTATTATTATACACACTATACGGTAGGATTTTTCTTGGGCAGCCAGAAAACCTCTTAATTTGTTTCAGAATGAACGATTCCCTTGGTTTTTTTTTCCATCACCGCATGTATGCGTATATGTTGAGCGCATGCCTTTAACTAAAACCATGCCCAATTCCCCTTCCTTGCCCAAGATCCAATTGTGCCATAGACGGGAGCGTCTTGTGCGTTTAAGATATTACCACTTGGGCTACAACTCCCAAAGGCTCGCTAGAATTATATAATAGCCCAAATTCGCTCCTAAAAAAGTCGATGGATATTTATGCACACAGTCAAAAAGTTTTCTATTTTCATGTGAAATTTTCTGTTTTCTAGGTCCTCATAAAAGTTCTGAAATTTTTTTGAAACCTCTCCGAAACTCCCAAGCCCCCCCCCCTGAGCTTTTCATATCCATTCCCGAAATCCACGCCCCACCTCTTTTTTCAGTAAAATTACGAATCGTATACCCGCTGTGGGTTTGGCCTCGCCAAGCACGAGTTCTTCCAACTATTCAATCGGAGAAGGGGCAAAAAAACCATTCTGTCTTCCACTTCCACAACTGACTTAAAATCTCGCACTTCTGAAACCGAATTCACTCAAGTGTTAATGAAAACACATTCCATCTCATGAAGTTGAAACTATTATATTGCCCTTACAAATGTGGAACGAAAATGGAAAAAATTAGCACAGAAAACATGGTGTACTGGTCGTGCTCAATGGGGTCGTGGACGGACCCAATACCATTACGACGTTTTCCGTAAAGCAGGTTCCGTAGGGGGTTTGCGTTATAATGTTTCTAGGAAACTATCCAACGATGAATCGATTGAAGAAATTAAGTAAGAGCTTCGGCTGGAGCATTTACTGTAGGTCCGCGTGAGCTCGACCACGATGGCAGATGACGTCATATTCTGAAGAGGGTGAGGGCAGTGAAGGAGGGCTTGCGTGTACTAATAGGGGGGCATTTGAGGAATATTTTGCTCCAAAGCTTTCGTCAGCGACGACAAATCTCTGCGACGAAAAAAAAAAAACGCTGAGCTGCGACATAGACAGAATGTCTTTTTTTATTGCCCCCCCCCCCCCCCTTTACAACATATTCGCAAAGATTTACTACAAGCGCTGATATTGTTCAATATTTGTGAACATTACGGCGATTCTAGGGCTCCAATATGTTTGTCAACTTAACTACACCTTCATATCCTCCATTTTCACGAAAATAATGAATGACTGCATATCGCGGTTTTGCCCTTAATTTTTGCCTCTCCTGTGACCGTGTGCTGTGCCTTTTGCATCGTGGGAGTCATTCCGTTCTTCACTAGAAGAAGACTCCTTTAATTTTGGAGTTATCCAATGGTACCTTTAACATCCTTTTTCGGCGAGACGCCTTCTTCAACAACTTCTCTCACTCAGAGCGAGTAATTCAGCATTGCGGCACCCCGGGATAATGCATTAAACCACGCGAATGTCTTTTTAAGGGGGCCCCCGGCTTTTGCAAGGGTCCTTTTCTCGTCCGATATAGGGAACACATGCGGCAAGGCCAACAGAACCACCGCTTAATATTTCCTAAACGAAATAACCTCTGAATAACCCGCGAAAGGGATCCGCATTCTTCGCGCTTCCTCGTGCGGCAAATCTTGCATATCGAGTTGACGTTTCAAAAATTCTCGCAAAATGGAGTTAGCACTGAAGGAGGAAATGCCAATATTTCCCTCTGCAAGAACGTCAGTAACCTTACAAAATTTGCTTGGGGCCAAATTGGGGAAAAATCTGTGAACACCCAGAATGCCCCACTTTGATGTCACACACTTTTTTACCCATTTTTTTTTAAATCAGAACTCATTTGTAAGGTCAGCTGGCGGTTTTTATAAGAGCGAATTCTGAAGCGTCAGCTCTAACTGCAAAAATTTGCAAAAAAATCGAATTGAGGACCCTCCTTTTGGTAATCAAAGGGCCGTTTAGGAGAAGCCAACTGTGGTTCTGTGGTTCCCGCATGTGCCCACATATCATGAAAAAGACCGTTTTTAAAGCTTGTCCCCGCTTAAAGACCTTCCCGTAAGTCCCCACATCATTTCCGTATCACCTACTTTCTTCGAATGTCGATCCAATTCTGTTACCTGCTCAATGATGACGAGTCATTGCGAAGCTGTTGGGCCTTATTCTGTAGTGAATCATGTCAATCAGGCTTACTGCAACCGCATAGTAATATGTTCTGCTTTCAAATGGATACATCGATATCGTTGTAAATTCTTTATCTAGTTGTTTTACAGGAAACCCAGGCTTAGGCGACGATCCTCTTTGAAAGACCATGCGGACGGCGAACGACGCGTTTGCGGTATCCTCCAGCAGGTGGTACCCTGGAAATCGATATAGTATAAGGAACGTGTTAAAGAAGAACGGAAAAATCAGGGGGAAGCTGGAGATGTGCAAAGCTTACTGATTCTCGGATGCTGGCACGCTTGATTGTACAGCAGCAGCTCCTCTTGCCGGACATGGACAATATTCGGCGTCACCTCCCGTCTCTCCTGGTTCACCTGGTCGGCCAGGTTGACCATCGGTACCTGGAGCTCCAGGATTTCCGGGTGCTCCAGCTGGTCCAGGAGCTCCTGGTGCTCCCAAGTTCGCTGGGCCACCATCTGCTCCTGGTTGTCCGGGTGCTCCTGGTGCACCGGCAGGTCCTGGTGGTCCAGGGTTTCCTCTTCCAGATCGCCCTGGTGCACCAGGTTGTCCAGGTGATCCTGGTTGTCCGGGAGCTCCTGGATTTCCGCTGTCACCAGGTGGTCCAGGAGGCCCTGGAGGGCTAATGCTTTGTCCAGTTCCAGGGGTTCCAGGGTTGCCGTCAGGACCAGGAGGACCTGGAGGACCATCTGGACCTGGCTGCCCAGGTTCGCCAGCAGGGCACGGAATACAATCTGAGCCGGGCCGACCGCCGCCGGTTTTAGTGTTGGCATTTCCAGGCGTACCAGGTTGTCCTGGCTCTCCATCCTCTCCAGGTGCTCCTGGCTCTCCCGGTGGTCCCGCAGGTCCAACTGGGCAGTTGTTTGCTTGTCCGCCGTCTGTTCCTCCTCTCGCTCCACGCGGGATTCGTTTCACATTTCTCTCACGAGCAAGATCAGCAGGATTGGGCATCATTTTCTGCCATGCAGAATCAGCAACCTCCTGAAAAAAGAAATTTCAAAATCAAGCAGAAACCACGAAATTTTTTTTTAGCAGATTAGTGCCTGAAATACTGCCACTTGCCTTGAAAATGTTGAGATCCTCGACGGCATCGTCGTAGAAAGTGTTAAGATCGTTCACGATGTAGACGATACCGGCAATGGAGCTGATCACAGCCAAAGCGGTTAATCCGGAGACTACAGCGACCACAGTGTGCGTTCCCATGCTGACAACTGCCTGCTATCACCTTTGCGAACATGTGTTTTATGCTATTGATGAAGGTCATTCAGCGCTTGTCTAATAGTTAATCGTTCCAGTTCAGCGCCAGTTTACATGGATCTTATCACACATTTATTTCGATTCTCCGTGTACGTTAACTAATTCGACTAGATTATCAGTGTTCCGATTAAATTATCACAGTGTTGTTCGCAACAGAACAGTCGTATCATGATACGGAAGGTCACGTTTTGCCCTCGGAGCAGCCCTTTTCCTCCAATCTGACTGCTTTTCCTAGCTATGGCGTCAACGATGAACCATTGGATTTCGCCAATACGACCACTCCTTACAAGGGAGGTCTTTCAGGGCAAGACATGCTTTATTCCGAATGTTACTTGCATAATTGTAGGGGCGCGCATGTAAGGTAACACAAATCCATTTTCGCCTGACTGTTTAGCAGGTGGCAAAAAAGATGCATGATGTAGCCGCTAAATGGTTTTGATCCTCCGTGCACTAAATTTTGGGCAATCCCTGGCACCTACCGGAGTGTTGCCAAATTGCGCTCGCTAAATGTCAAAATCAGATGTCATATTCATCGTCAGGACCATTTTGAAGCCAACAAGTGGCCGCCAACCTTGATTGCAAAATTTAGTCGCCGCGGGGGATTGAACCATCAAGAGTATTATTCACCACTTTTTTGGTACTACTAAAACCGTTCAGCGAAACGAAACATGGTTTTGTGGTCTTTCACATGCTTCCCTACCACAGTATCCAGAACCTTTTTCAAAAAGGGCAGCTGCCTGAAAGACCCACTTGTTTAAGATAATTCGGCCTCCACCATGGCTTCCCTAATCACCTTCATCTCCCTCGCCCCTAACCGCCCACTTCTTTTGTCTTACCATAACATTGCCTTCCTTTAAAGGAGGAATTCACGATTAGAATGAAGGTCGAAGAAAGGGAAACTGACCTAGTTGAGGGACCCACGGACCTCCTGAGGGTGCGAACTGACGCGCAATTCGCATGGAAAAATTTGACCTCGGCGACACTATAATGCCTCAAAGCTGGCGGCCGTCGAATCTCCGAGCCCCACCGATCCATCTGATCACTATCCAGCACGTACTTCAATACGTGGCGAGTGATTAGATAGCTGAGAGAGCGTAGTGTTGAAGAGGGCACAGCGATGAGAGTCGCATCAATGCTCGAATCAACGGGCAAGGAAGGGGTACCATTTCTCGGGTTCTGGGCCGTTTCTCATGGTTCTTCCTTCTTTCGTGTACCACTCACCATCCCTAGGTTAATTTGAAATGGGTTGCTTTTTCATCGTGAATTCGTCCTTTAAATATGATTTTTCGGCTTAATCGATGAGTAAGGAGCAGTGAAGAGCGTAGATTGTGCAATCGCAAAAAAAAAAAACACGGCATATATCTCAAGTTTTTCGAGCCGCTATTGCCAAGTACCCTCTCAAAAACCAATTCTTAGTAGACTTTAAATACATACATATGATTGTAAAATATTATAATATATTATCATATCAATATTCAAATATAAGCTTTTTTGAACGAATGAGTGCGGAAAACCAGCTCTAAAACTGATGGGTTCCCCTTGAAGCTCGTGATTGTTTCGATTATTGATCGTTGTTGGGCGAATCGATGAGTGAACTAATTCAGTTGAATTTGAGCGCCCTGGTTGTTCTGCAAGATCCAAAAGAGAAATCACTTGTCAGTCACTCCATAGAGTAACAGTTCCTTCTTCAACATTCTGGGATGAATGAAGAAACGAACTTGTGGGCGAGGAAACTGACCTCAACCACAATCGCGATGGCTGTACCACTGTTCCATCACGAAGCAGGGTCGGTCCCTACCGGTGGTGGTATATACATCGCGTCTAAAAACCAGCCAATTTCACCCGCACGTCCACTCATGCACATGCCATTTCCTTACAACCGAAGCAAGTACGACCCCCCTCCCTCTACACACATCACAATCCGACGCCCCCCCAGTTTCTATCCCCTAGCCTAGGAGTCTCACGTCTCCCGCTCAGTGCCGCAAGTGTTTCTTCGAACAGCTCGTATGCCAAACAAAAAAGGCACATTGGCCTTGCCAGTGGTTACCGAAACTTACTCCGTGCTTTTCTATTCTATAGCGATGCCCCTAAGCACTCGTGCCCTTCCATTTTCAAACTCCTACTGAAAATGCCCGTCTCAATGTCCTTCCCCAGCAACATCTCACACAGTATGTTGAAGATTTGTTAACCCTGTAGAGTGAATAATAAAACAAGTATTCTCAGTGGTTTGAAAGCGGTTAATCAATACACGAGAGCCGTACAGGTACATTATGGGAATCCTCTCCGACCTTTCCTAACATGAACATCTGAAAATTGGATCATTAGTAATACCGAGTTTCACGCAGCCAAAGATGCAGTCTCCGAAGGAAAGAACTTACGAATACTCATCGCTGACTGTGCAACAGGTAGGTGGAAGCGTGCGCCCATGGTGGTCATCATGAAAAGAATGCGGGCCTTGGAGGCGCCCCCGAATCAGCAATCGTCTTGAAAAACATCGAATTGGAGCGTTCGATTTGAGTTAGGCAAAACATCGATAAACTAGAGTGCAGTAGGAAGTGTGAAGATGGTCTGATTACAGCACTACGTAAGCGAGTGACCCGTTCACACCCGCTAAAGCATTTGTGACCAAATTTCCGAACGGAATGAATATAGTCCTCCGGTTTCCGAATGTTTACCAAACAAACCCACCAAAAAGCTCTTATTCGTTCTCATCCGTGAAAAGCGATGCTCTCTAGGTCAGTGAGTTCATGTAGGTAAACCATGATTTTCTGGGAGGATTCCTTCAAATGGAGACTCTAGAGGTAGATACCCACTTTGAGAATAAGGTTGGTGCCAGCATATATGCCATTAATTGGACGCCTCCAATGTTCCAGTGTAATTTGAGGACCAGCATTACCGTTACTGCAACTCGTCTACTGAAGGCTAATATTCATGGTTTGTCTGTTGGGCAAGTGGTCACGGTGTGGTGGCGCTCCCACCGCAAGAGGTAAAAAAAAACGCAAGGTGAATAAGGGGAAATCCTTCTACCCTCCGCTATTATTAACGTTATTTCGCTAATTATGCACCGTCACTGGGTGACTACGCGCGTCGTATTTGTTGCAGTACAGGTTGTCGTCGTTCGAAACGCGACAAATATAAATATTATGTCGCCTCAAAAGTTCGTGCATATTTTGAACCTTTTGAGCCTACTCTATTTCAAGCACATGCACTATCTATCATTGATATATGCACCATCACTATCAGTGACTTGTTGCCAACGACCAACCAGAAGAGTGGCACTTAACTCCAAGAAGGCTGGCAGTTACGAGCTGAAAAAGGCAGTGAGGTCGATTTTCGAGGTGCCTATGGGAATCGTATTTTTTGTCGCAAGATGCTGCTGAGCAAAAGAGCAGATGTCTTTCGAAAGAAGGCTGATCACCGCTGCACGTCGGGAGATGGTAGACTTTTCAGATAAGCTTCAATGTCTCGGTCGTTTTGAAACGCGTGGTCTCGTTGTGGTGGAGCAGATCTACTTTTTCGAGTCTTAAGGAGAGTTGATGGAGTTTCAGGTAACTCCCTGCTATTGATCACACCAGGCTTGATTGTCTTCATAGCTGCAACAAGGGAGATGTTCTTAGAGGTTAACTCGAGAACGCCGCAAAAAAGGTGGAGCACGACCTTGTGGTGAATTTTCTTCACTTTTCACCCTCTTCTGCCGATCCAGTCCCTGGGATTCTAGGTGTGGTTGTCATGGAACCTGAGCTTCTCAACTGCAGTAGTGGCTTTGTTCAACCAGGGCGTACGGGTGGAGCAGGAAACAAATTATAGACGAAACTTCTATCGCACTCCTGATTTTTGGCAGACTTCTCCCTTTTACGAAGGAGAGAGAACCTCTATAAACTGTGCATCTGAAACACCAGGATGTGGAGGCTACATAGCTGGTTAACCGTGTGGATTGGCTTCAACGAGAGCATGTTCAAATCCGACACTGATGACCTTCCTGAACGAGGGTTTTTCTCCACGCTGTAGTCTTCTGAGCGATGGAGATCCATCTATTCTGATTCCGCATAGCTGGCAAGGACAAGGGGTTGTATCGCAAAACAGTTATTGTTACTTTCGGCTTCGATCGGTTTGTGGCTAATCGTAAGCAGAAATTCTCGAGTCAGAGCGTGAACAGCACAGCTCGTTTCTTTCTTCCCTTTGAACTTAAAGAAGGCAACGGGGGTGGGCATGACTCGGTTAGAAGATACTGTTGTGCCCCCTACACAGCCTACGCAAATATAACTAGAATTTGCTGAAGGAGCTTGTGGCATGAGTTCCAAAAATATGCACGATCTTTTGAGATAGCGTAACGCATCGCCGTGCCGTGACCTAACGACACACAACAGCCTAAAAGGTCTGAAAAGCTCTCTAAAACATGCTTATACTTCGAGAAAAAGGGGAGTGAGGTTACTGCGCCATTATTAAATCCCTCAGTTGATCGATGCCACTCAACTATGTACATGCGCCGCAAAACGAACTAGCATATTACTGCGGACTTCTTCATGATGTAAGGTGTACTTCTCACCCCAACAGAACTGTATTATTACAAATTACATATACTTTGCTTTGAAAACCTGAAGTGAGTTCGAGTGCAGACCACACACCACAAGCGACGACGGACTCTACAAAGTGTAGCCAATGAAATGATTAGCTTGTTGTAGTTGTCCATTTCAGTTGAACTAATTACAAAAACTGCTTTAATTTATCAGATTATCAGCGCTCCCCATGGAAGCACTAGTATACAAACATCTGCTTAGAGGTCGTCGTCACTCATGGGTGTGTTTATGTGCACTCCACACTTCTGGTATTCTGAAACAGAGTAAATATCATAGACGATTCTACCAAAATGAGTTGTTTCGTGCTGAGATCCATATGTGAACAACACAAATTTTATAATCACTTCATTAATAATAAATAGGTGTGAT